AGAGAGAAGAGAGAGAGAGAGAAAGAAGGACGAGAAACCTCAGCAGGAGATAAGGCCTTTGAATATAGCCGCAAGGTCAGCGTGGAACTGACCCCAGCATCCTGCCCGACTGAATTCGAGTTTAATGAATAACTATTGAATCCCGCCTCTATCGCTGCCAATAAGAACAAAACGGATGCCGGTGGATGAGATCTGGTGCTCTCCTCTCGAGACTCGGCAACTTGGCGAAGGGAGTCGGGACGCCTGTTTACGTGGGACGATTTAAAATAATCGGCCGATTAAAACGACCAGACACATAGGTTATTTCGATCCTTTTGAGGGATCCTGTTTTTTTTTCCTGATAAGTGATATCTTGCACGAATTAAATTTCTTAATCGCTAAGAATAGTTTGCACGTTATAAAATTTGATCAGATCTTACAAATTAAATTAAAAAAAAGAATATATTAGGCACAATTTTATATAAAATAGATACTCAATAATTATCCACAGTAAAGCGTTCTAATTACAGATCAATCATTCGTTTATCTCCTATTGTTTCAAGATATAAAAATAATTCCTCGAAAGGAGTCCGAATCAAAGCACTCGAAATTAAAAACAGAAAAAAAGCAACCCTCGAGGCGGAACTGGCCAATTTCTCAAATTTCGCCAGCAGGTGTGTCACGAAGCGTCTCCTTCGAAAATGGCGGAGTCGCTGCAAATTCGTGTCCCAACAAACCCAACAACAACAACAACAACAAGAAAAAAGAGAGAAAAAGAAAGGAATAAAGGTTGGCTCGAGAAACGAAGGAGGAGGACAAGGTGGAGCGTAAACGTAAGCGTAATCTACACGGTGTGCCATCAGCCACGACGGACTAAGTATACATTTTATCCGTAACGTGTTCGCCATTACCCTACGACGTCGAAGCCACGGGCTAAGTAACGGGCCGAGCGAGGGTCGAGAACGGCCTCGTAATGCGATGTGTGTGCAACATAAGTGGCCATCAGCCAACATAAACAATCGCCATGGTAAGTATACGGTATGCGACGATACCCACCCCTCCTCCCTCTTTCGCTGCCTTCCATTTCTGTCCAATCCACGCTGCCCGTGGATCCACCTTGGCAACCACCCTCTCCCTCGAGCCGATCGCGAGGGGTCCTTCGCCCGGATACCTGCCGCTCCTCCACACGCGCGCACCTACGTGTACGTACGGGGCCCCATTGGGGACGGTGCAACGTAATGGAGCCATTATCGCTGGATAACTTCATCATCGGCCATTGGCGTAGGCCGTTCAACGCGCAAGCTCTCTTCCGCCACGATCGACCGATACAAAACGATTCTCCAAGAGGCTGGATTCTCGAGGAGGAGAAAGGGGAGGGAGATCGTCTTATCGATGATGGGAATTGTGCTCTCTTCGTCTTCGTTCCTTTGGGTATTCTCGCGTACCGATATTATGGCACATATTGAAAATTCTACATAATTTAATGTGCCTCTTTCTTCCCCTCCCCTCGTGGAGGGATATGGGGTATGGTTCTTGGAACGAGGCACCGTTTATAATCTCGGCCCGATCGCGGGGGCCTTTAACGTGCGTTCTTACGCGCGGAACGGCCGAGTTCTTTTTTCCTTCTTTTTTTTTAGGAATCGCGTTCTCCAAGAATTCGAAGAGTGGATTCTTGTGGATCGTTTGTTGGAATATTTTTCGACGATTAAGAAATACAACGTGTATATTTGAATTCGCTTCTGAAAATTTCGACGAAAAGAAGAAGTATAAATACATCGATTGCGAAATTACGAATCCCAACAGCGGCGAGTATCAATTTCGAAATCTCGACCGGGCAAAGCAAAATTCTCGAGAACGATGAAAAAAGTGAGATTCGAAACACCATCCAATCCTTATTTGCTGGCGAAACGATAACGATATCACGGATTTTAACGCGCGGACGGGAAATTGCAGCGTGTTGGATGAAACGAGGCTCCACGATTCCTAGATACCTGCCCGATGAAATTCATCGTTTCCGGTGAACGCGCCACGGCGGGCATTCTTCGAGCGCTGCGCTTGTGCGCACGCAGATATTGATATAAACAGGGGGCAGGGCCGGTGTGGAGCGTGCTTTGTAATCAAGCCCCCATTACTATCGAAGGTGGTCAATCTTCTTGGTGGACGGAACGACGTTGTTCCAGGCCCGATACGACTTTTAGCGCGGTTTTGTTTCAACTTTTTACCACCATGGTTGAGAGCGTGGTGGTGGAGAACAGGCTGCTGACACTGGTCTCTGGCTACAAGAGCGTACACCTGCCTTTGGGCGCAAGTGACAGATTAATGCTAATCTGAGGCGACTGATAGATAGAATTGAGAATATTTGTCGATCCCTTGGACTGTTCAATTTATGATCAATTTGATATTCGATTTGGTAATACCACGATGAAATTGGTTTAAGTTTCGTTTCTGATTTTGTTCAAGGATGGAATTATTTTACTCGAGGCATGTTGAGTAAGTTATTATTAATAATAATTTAATTTGAAGGTATAATTGAAATTCGTGTTTCAGAGATGGAGAAAAATTGTATTTTTCGGGGGAAGGAGGTGATAGTGACGATAATATAAACGATTTATATGAACGATAATTTGCGCGGATAATCTAATATTCTGGAAATTTCGTTGTAATCGAGATGCATCGAGTTTCGTAATATAAAATTAATCACGAATTAGCGAGGAGTGATTTTTACGTAAAAGTCTCGAAAACAAGTTTAACAAAAGTGCACGACTTTTTTTTTAAAGGTCAAAGGGCGAAAGGAAAGATACAGAAAGTTTCGGGAGATTATATCGGCAATTAGCCTCTGAATGATGAATTAGTTTCGACATTTTGTCGGCTATTCTTGTAAAATTGATAAGGGAAACCAGCCTAAACGATTGGCCAATCAAGATCATTTCCTGAGGAAGTTCCACGCGTAAGTGTATGTTTGTTCACTCGTCTTAAATCAATCTTGCTATCGTATTCAACAAGATGGCCTACCGGAAATTTACAAAATATCGAGGACAAATTTATCAGAAATTTATCTCCAATGCTAATTTTAAGTACCTTCTTTTATGTAATCTTCTTGAAAACAAGATTATTCTCTTAATCGTCTCATTTGAAAAAAATCGAAGGCAAACTTCTTCAAATTTATTATATTCCTTTAAAAAAAAAAAACATAATTATTTATTTCAATTTTCTCTCCAATTTTCATTTCCAAATTTCTCCACCCTTAATTTCTCAACTCACCCCGTTGAAAAGTGAACATCGTTCTATGTACACGATCGAATCGTTCATCAAACTTTATCCCGAAGAAAGAGAAATTCGTGATTGTTCCTCGAAATACGATCCAATCCGTGGCGGATTTTCCCTAATGGCTGAACCACGTTTCCGATCGACCGACCGATATTTCCAGCTGGAACCACCCTCCACCCTTCCAGACTTTTTCTTTCGAGGGTGAATCGCGTAGACGGTGCTCGTGGCGCGGAAACGAGGGTTTCGGGGCGGAAAGCACGGAGTCAGCACACCATTCGCAGGAGAACACGGCCGGTGAAATAAAATGTATCGGCTATTTCGCTCGGTGGCCTCGTATTGGTCGACTGGACGTTCCTCCGATCCCTGGAAACCGCAATTTCCGGCCATCCTCTTTCAAAAATCCCACCGTTCGATATTTTCGTCGAAAATGGATCTTTTTCGATAATTCTTTCGCCTGAATTTTACATAAATATCCTGAACAATTGAATTTTTCTCGCGGAACAGAATTCATTTGAAATTCTTAATTTAAAATTGCAAAAAATATCTTATTATTTAGCACGATGTAGAATGCGATACAAATCATATTTTAATAAAATTGTTTTTATATAAAATATATACGCCGACCTTTGGATCTTGAGCGATGAAAATCTGTCTCTATCTCGAAGATATATGATGTCATTCGAGGCATTGACACGACTTCTTGATAACATATAATTTTTTTCTCTGAAATAAATTTCTTAACGATATAAATGATTTTTATCAACTTTATTCCCATTTAAAAAAAAAAAAAAAGAATCAAATCACTCTAACAGCTCAATAATGAATTTCAGGTGTCCAACTCCCGAACTCTCGATCCTCCACGTTCGATCGATCATCCCCGTGGAACACGGTAAGGAAAGACGAATCCATCGCCGCGAAACATTTATTCGTACGATGCATAATAAGATGTCCGCTTCCACTTCCATCGGCATTTAAAGAATGGTGCCTCGTCCAATCGTGCGAGTGCACAGCTCACCGAAGAAAGGGATTCTAACATGTCTGAAATCTTGGCGGGAGCCAGGGACAAAACATTCGCCGCGACTGGTTTGCCAGAACGTATAATAAGAGTGTGATTAGCATTATTTACGGCCGGTTAACTATTAACCCATAAATCAACCGGAGGACTACATTATCCAAGCCGTGTGTTGGTGAGTGTCCGCTCGCCTCTTCTCTTTCGAAGAAGAAGAAGAAGAAGAAGAAGAAGAGGAAGAAAAAGAAAAAGAAGAAGAAGAAGAAGAAGAAGAAAACGGTACCGTACCGAGGTGTGCGGACGATGTAGATCGTCTGGACGATAAGGGGCGAGGAGGATTCGTGAGTCGACGAAGGATTCGAAAGAAGGAGAGAAGGGTGGAGGATATAAGGGTGGAAAGGTCGAGGAAAAAGAGGATGGAGGAAGAGGAGGGGCGGCTTTCTTCTTCGTGATTTAGGAGGACACGGTGTTCCTTCTTTCCTTTATCAGCCGCTCCTTTCCCTTCTTGCCGGATCTCTCTCTTTCTCGAGCGCGAAATTTCGAGCGGATTACGGTGAATCAGCTCGACACCTCGGCGGCAAACGTGCCCCGATCGAGGATGAATCTGGTGAGTGTATCTTACTTGTGTACCGTATCGGGGCTTTCGATCCATCGGTTGGAATAATGTTGTGCTAAAGTGTTTCACGGCCTGTTTTTTTCAAGGGTTGGACGGTTTAATCTCTGGTTCGAAAGGTAACGTTTACTTTGATTTATATTTCGTCGACACAAATAGTAAGATCGGTAACGTGAGTTAAGAATTACCTAAAACTTTGATTCAAGTTTTCAAGTTTTTCAAGTAATATCACGTCTAGTGGAGAGATATTTAAACAATCTTGCTGTATCAGTTTTCATTATCAGTCACGATTTAAAAAAATTTTATTACAATTGTTTCCAATATGATAAAATTCACGCGATGCTTTCACTATCGTCTGACCTCTGATGAAATTCCTTATTGGAATTACTTACTACATCCGAAAATTCCAAGTGATCCATCAATTCGTGTAGATATATCTTTTGATTGTGAAAACGTTTAAACTTTTCACTTGAAATTTCGTCAATAATATTAAAAAATTGGCGACAAAATATTCAAAAAAAAAAAAAAATCAGCCATTTGAATTACAAATATAATAGAAGAATTCTTTACAGTTTTATAGCTTCCGATCGACGTGAGCCCGGCGAAAAAAAATTTTCCACCAAAAGCCTTAAATTCTGGTTTTATTTTTATTCCCCGGAACGAAGAGGCGTAAAATTACTATTTTCCCCGGCCCATTCTGTTAAAATTTTCAGAAAATTGACAGCCAGCGTAGGGTAGGGGGGAAGGGAGGGGATGAGGGGGGGTCACACTCGCTCGTTTTTGGAACGGCAAATTGGAAAATAGGATGATGATACATTTTGCCGGCCTCTCTTTTCCGCGAAATCGTGCCGGCTCGTATTATTCAATGAAGAATAAAATAATTTGTTCCGTGTTGCTTTTACTAGCCGCGCCCTGATTGTTAGTTATTGTACCATATATCCGGGTTAAGCTTGATCATTTGTATCGAAACTGTGGGCAATTTAATCGGAACATAGTGACAGGAAGATCCGTGCGCACTACGTTTTAATATTCGATGATAAACACACGTAAATGGCTAATTAATTTAATTATAGCCGGTGGCCGTTACAACGGGAAAATTCGGTGTTTAATCAAGGTCCGTGCCGAGATGTAATTTCCCCGTTAAATGTATAACACCATCCCTGACGATTAACTCTCAACGTCAACGATTTTTTTTATTTTTTCATTCGTGGAAAATGCGCGATAAAAATTTCTCCGCGAGAAATGGGGTTACGCGCCCATTTTGGAACCGGATACAAATATTTAATACGTGTATCACGTGTATTAAAAAGTATAAAACGTTGGAGTGTACGTTTGCAGTTTGGCAAGCTATCTCGTACAGATTCGTTTCCAGAGTTAAAATTATATTGTTCTCGATTCGAAAATTTTGCCTCGAACGTCATTCTTGTACATAACAATTTTTCTTTTTTGTTGTTATGTTAACTGTACGTGTTATTAAGTTGTTTTGTATGTTAATTTTAGGTAAGGGTACTTCGCGCAAACTTGTTCAAACTTCAAATCAAAACCGACTATTTCGCATCTTCTCGATAACATTATATCTGCTATCAGAAGAAACACCACCAAATTGATCAAAATCACATTCAAAAATTTTCATCGTCTCGATTAAAACTCAACAAATCAAAGCTCGCCAAACCCGAACCAACAACGAACCAAACGAAGCCACCAAACCACTTCAAACCTGCAGGAATGCAAAGCATCCCTCCACCATCGAGTTAACTAAATAAGAAATCTTATGTACCGATCGCGTTTCCAAGGATATCCTCAGCTCGTGTGGCGAAGGGCCCAGCCCCGTCTCGCGGATCCCCTTAAATAAATTCCCATAAAACAGCGGCGGTGGCTTGGTCACGTTGGCTCTTGCATCGTGTCTCCTTCCGTATTCGAGGCACGAGATCCTGCCTGGTGGTACGTCATTCGCCCTGTCGCTAATCAGAACTAACCGCCCGAGCGTGACCCGAATCCCCCATCGACGGGACGAATACGGGTGGAGGAACGCGCGAAACCGAAGTCGAAGGATGGAAAACGTTAGACGATGGAGGCGTTGTGGATGTGAGAAGAAAGGAGAGGAAGAGAGGAGAGAAGACACCTCGTTGCAGCAGCCATCTTTGCATCTCCCTTTCACCGGCAACCCCATTTTTGCGCTCCTGTTATGGCCGTTCCTCTCGCGAGTCCTTCCCAACATATATATGTTCTTCCACCATCCCCTTTCTCTCCTCTCCTCTCCTCTTTACAACTCTTGTCCCTCTTCGTTCGCGATTCTCGTGCCGGCAATTAGACTTGCAAAGCAACCGCGAATCTCGAGATCCTCGGCTTCCGGGGATGAAGGGCGAGGGGGGAAGGGAGGGAGGGAAATTTTTGCTCCGCAGGAGAGGAGAAACGAGGAGAAATCGTGGGAGTGGAGAGCAGTTATGGTTTCGAAAGGGTGGAGAGGGTTTTATTTTTCTTTTTTCTCGAGAGAGAAAATATATCATATCGAATGAAGGAGCGGAATTTGATAAATTTTATTTTTCAACAGGACGTTTTGTCGACAGGACAGGTGAATGGACGATTCGAAATTCCAAGAAGATGAAACGATTTTGTGTGAAATTAATTGATTCTCGGATCAATAATAGTGGCGATCAAAAATATTTAATAATTTTTATAGATGTATATGGATG